GGAGCTCCGCCAGAGGGGGCATCGATCACGGAGGGCTTGTACATCAACACCATAGCCTCTTCGATGATGTGTGAGTAGTTTACTTCAGACCTTCGGGTCCATAGTTATTAGCTAGATGGCTTCTTCTCTCTTTTTGGATCTCAATACAATGTTCTCCCCCTCTCTTGTGGAGATCTATTCGATGTAATCTTCTTTTGCGGTGTGTTTGTTGAGACCGAAGAATTGTGGGTTTATGATAAAGTTTATCTATGAATAATATTTGAATCTTCTCTGAATTCTTTTATGTATGATTGGTTATCTTTGCAAGTCTCTTCGAATTATCAGTTTGGTTTGCCCTACTAGATTGATCTTTCTTGCAATGGGAGAAGTGCTTAGCTTTGGGTTCAATCTTGCGGTGTCCTTTCCCAGTGACAGTAGGGGCAACAAGGCACGTATTGTATTGTTGCCATCGAGGATAACAAGATGGGGTTTATATCATATTGCATGAGTTTATCCCTCTACATCATGTCGTCTTACTTAAAGCGTTACTCTGTTCTTTTCAACTTAATACTCTAGATGCATGTTGGATAGCGGTCGATGTGTGGAGTAATAGTAGTAGATGCAGGCAGGAGTCGGTCTACTTGTCTTGGACGTGATGCCTACATACATGATCATACCTAGATATTCTCATAACTATGCTCAATTCTGTCAATTGCTCAACAGTAATTTGTTTACCCACCGTAATACTTATGCTCTCAAGAGAAGCCACTAGTGAAACCTATGGCCCCCGGGTCTATTTTCCATCATATTGATCTCCCGTTAACAAGCTATTTCTGCGCCATTTTTATTTTGCTTTATTTACTTTGCATCTTTATCATAAAAATACCAAAAATATTATCTTATCATATCTATCAGATCTCACTTTCGTAAGTGACCGTGAAGGGATTGACAACCCCTTTATTGCATTGGTTGCGAGGATTTTATTTGTTTGTGTAGGTGCGAGGGACTCATGCGTGGCCTCCTACTGGATTGATACCTTGGTTCTCAAAAACTGAGGGAAATACTTACGCTACTTTGCTGCTTCACCCTTTCCTCTTCAAGGGAAAACCAACGCAGTGCTCAAGAGGTAGCACCTCGCTCGACGGATAGGGCCTGCGGTAGGACAATGATTCTTGATGCAGGACTCGTGCCAGTCAAGATGTTATTTGGACACACTCCCCCACTTCGATTCGTAACAAGCACATCTCGATGGGTGACTTCCAGCGTACAAATTAAGATCATATCTGGTCCAAACATAAATACATGGTTGTAAGCATTAAGACCTCATACCCGTACATCTTTTTATTATAAGTGTTTGAATCACTATTTGCTTGCTTGATCCGGTCAAAAGCTGGATTTGACACTTTAACATAAGCTTACTAGAGACCATTGCTTCAAGGGAATCTTCCTCTCGTGGGTTCGGTAACCCAGGGTCACCTCTCGGAAATAGGTGCGGATGCACTTTTCTGTTCCATTACCGGATCAATAAAAGGAGGTATTAAGCACTTTTTCTGGCGCCGTTGCCGGGGAGGAGTTTAGTATTCCTAGTATTTGTGTTTAGTGTTTTTGTTAAAGTTAGTTTTTTAGTTTTTACTTTTCTATTTTTAGTTTAATTTTTATTTTTGTTGCAAGTTTTGTCAGTTGAGAAAAAACAAAAATATTACTATGGCTCATAATCTTGGGAGTTATGCTACTCCCAACAACAACTTCATGCATCTACCTATAACACAACATGAGGTTGCAGCCGCTGAGTATGAGATTGAACCAAACTTAGTTTCCATGGTTCAAGGGGTCCAATTTGGAGGCTACACTTCTGAGGATGCCAGTATGCACTTGCATAATTTTACTAAATTGTGCAACATGACACACATTAAAGATTATGACCCTAACGCTCTAAAGTTGCGTCTATTTCCTTTCTTTGAGAGGAAAAACTAAGGAATGGCTTCTAGCTCTACCCAGAGGTAGTATTACTTCTTGGGATGATTGTTGCAATAAATTATTATCTAAGTTTTGTTCATCTGCAAAGATTATGCAATTACGTTCTCAGATTACCAGTTTCAAGCAAGAAGAACGTGAGCCACTAGCGCTTGCGTGGGATAGAATGAAAGAAGCTATATGGAATTCGAGGGCCGACATGAATGATCGAACTCGCCTACAAAGCCGGAGACCAAGATAATGAAGCTATCCCGAGGAAGGAGCTCGTATCCTCGGTTTGGAGACAAGTTCAGGGCTACTGACGATGTCCTGAAATAGGGGGTGCACACCGCTTCAGCCTACTGTTCATGGGCGAGGCCGACAAGCCACAAACAATTGAAGAATGAGATCCACATGCCCTGGCCCCTGGCATAACCAAGATGGAGACCTCCGAAGAGTTGGCATACACTTCAAGGCGTGTTTGAATAATTGGCATGTTTATCCCCATGTCGTAACCGACCATATGTAAACCCTAGATGCCTCTGGTGCCTATATAAACCGTGGGGTTTAGTCTATAGAGGCAAGCTTTTCAAGGTTTAGAGGTTAGAACCCGTTCATACTATCTCGAGGTAGATCATACTGTACTTTATACCCCATCCACAATCAATATAGAAAGAGGGCCAAACCTGGGTAAATATCGCGTCCCTATTCTTCCTGTTACCATCGTTCCCAGCTCACCGACTCGGGATCCCCTACCCGAGATCTGACGGTTTTAGCACCGACATGCACTAGGACAAGAGCGTCATGTATATTGTCTCGTATTAATAGACTTCCTAGTTTTATCTATTTTCAAGCAATTTATCGTCAAAGGAGTTTTTGGATAAAGACAAGACAATAAGGGGACTTCCTCTCATTTCCTCACATAACGCTAAGCGGTTAAGGCAAACTTTCCCATCCAGACTTCACCGGCGAGCTTGTGGATTCTCCTCCCCTCTGTGTGCCACTTCGACAGCCGATGGCGGGAAGGAGAATCTCGGTGCCTCCGCTCCAGTTAGTAGTTTAAGTTAGTTTTTTTTAGTCCTCACACGTGCGGCGCTCGGACGGATGGTGGCGCTTCTTCTTTGAGTTTGTCTTCCGAGGTTCGATTCTTCTTGAGTCCGTCCATTTGGATGTAGTCGACAGAGCTCTGGCATAGATTCATGACGCCTCCTTGAGGTGGTGATGTTAGGGTTTGTCGTCATGTGGCCAGATTTGGTGTTAAGTGCTTTAGATCTATACAAGGGTTCAACGACGACGACTGCGACTCCAGCGCGCTGGTCCTTAGGGGCATGTGCATGAAGACTTTTCGGATCGCATCAACAAGGTCAAACTGACTCCGATAGGGCAGCGCGTTGACAGGCCCGGCCCTGATGGGGGGGGGGGTCAGGGGCCGGCCGCCCCGGGCCCCCGAAAGGTAGGGGGCCCCACGTATGTGTGCTCTGTGTATTAGGCCCGTGAAAAAAATTGACCCTGCGCTAATGTAGGTGTAACATGCCTTGTACGTGAAGGATTCTAAAAAAAATGCCTTGTACATGAAGGTGCAGTAGTGGGCAAGTAAATCAACGATTCCCTGAATTAGTGGAATTTCCGTTTCCCACGTGTAGGCCCACTGGCCCACACACAACAACATTAGCGATCGACCTAGCCTCAAACAAATCCCTTAAGCACACATCAGGCACAACTCCCGCCGCCACAACATCCTCCCGCTGAGGCCTCACCGATGCTTCCTCCTTCAACGGCGACTCGGGTGATTTCATGTTGGTCGGACAGGAGCAACAATACCCCAGTTTTGAACAACAGAATAGGTAAGCATCTTCTTGATTCATCATCCAAGAGCTATCTAGGTTCTGCTAGATAGGAGTAGCTGGTGAATTAGCGAAGAAGAGTAGGGTATAGTTGTCCGGCTTTCTGATTAATGAATCTGGCTGTGTTGGTAGTCGATGAAACACAATGGGGGAGAATGACTACTAGGATCCATGGAGTAGTGATACTAATAGCTGAGATGAATTAATTAGAGAATGCATGATCGATTTAATTTATTTAAGTGGCTAAATTAATTTTAGCATTGTAAATTATAAAGTAATTCTAGCTGCGTGATAAGGATCCGTTCAAATATTATTTTTGTGTGTGGCACACTATATATGAAATATACACTGCGCGCAACTTCCTTGGCAAAATTTAAAGAAAGATAGAATTAATATAATCATATTCGGTTAAATTACAAAACTAAGTCGACATGCCGTTTTTTCACTCCATCGATAAAAAGTTAAGAGTAACCCCTTTTAAAAAATATCAAAACATGCATGATGCATAAAGGGCCCCCGGTTTTGTTTTTTGCCCCGGGCTCCCGAAATCTTAGGACCGGCCCTGCGCGTTGATGACTCGTTCTAACATCGTTCGGTGGTCTTAAAATCTTGATATATTTTCTATTATGTTTGAGATTCTCTGCATTTTGATAAACTTTTATAATATATCTAATCATTTAGGAAAAACAAGAGTTTTCAGATCACGGCACAGATGAACGACGGTGTACGTGCGTGCGTGCCTGCCCATCAGCACACGTGCCAAAATGTATTTTGCTCACGAGAGGGAGGGTGTTTCTCCAACTCTTGCGTGGCGGGTGTAATCAAAGCGTAATCCTGCGGAGGGGGCGTCGCATTCGCGGTGCTGAAAAGAAGAAAACCCTCGCATGCAGGAGCCACCATCATCGAGGTTCTGGAAATCTCTGAGACCTCGATTATCTTTTACTCGACTTACTTATTAGCCAGCCACCATCACGGGACGCGATTTCTTTTTTCCTTTTACCAGCTCCGGGTCCAACTCCCGAGAGACCTCGCCGCTGGGGAACTGAGCAAAAGGAGGAATCCCTCTGCCCAGCCGCGCACACTTGATCCGCCTCCCCAATCAAATCACCCCTCTCTCCCCCCCTCTCTCTCTGTCTGCCCCTCGCCGCGCCCCCCTCTCTCCTCCCCCGCCGATCCCGCGCGGCTACCGGAGGCCCGGCTGCGGCGGCGACGAGGCGGCAGGCGATGACATCGACCCCGCAGCCTCCCCGCGATCTCGCGCACGCCGCCCCACCCGCGCAGGACCTCACCGGCCTCGGCCTCGGCCTCGCGGCCGCGAGGTCCCTCCGCCACCGTCCGCCTCGCCAAGGATCGATGCCTTCAGGTGAGCATGGTGCCAGCGTCAGTCCGTGATCCGCCTGTCATCGCCACCAGCCTGCCAAGTCCGTGAACTGCAGCGCTTTAGTCAGTGTGTTCCTTCCTGTTATTTTCTGCTCAGAAATCAAATAGATGGTTCACCCCAAACTCAATCGCTTGACATCTTCTCTCTGACTGAAGAATTCCATGATGTTTCGCAGGTTCTGTGGAGCACCAGACCATTTCAGGCTCACTGATCCACTCAATGATTCAGTTCTGCGGAGCACCAGAGTACTTCATGTTCAATGATCCGCAGCCGGTGATCCCACACCATGCGGCCGCGGAACCCAGTCCCAATGCTCCCGTGGCCACCCTCTCCAGGGCCACCAACACAGAGACCGACAACCCCGAAGACTGGGAGTTCATCTCCGACGAGTCGCTCAACTACATCAGCCGGATGCTCATGGAGGAGGACATTGATGAGAAGGTCAGCGTGTACCAGGAGGAGTCCGCCACGCTCCGTGCCACCGCAAAGCCCTTCTATGACATCCTTGGGCACAAGTTCCCGCCGTCCCCTGACCGCACGCTCACCACTTGGTCCCTGGACAGCCCCAGTGAGAGCAGCAGCAGCGGTCATGCCCAGTCCTTGTCCAGTGTGGGTACTAGCGGCAGCATCGGTGGTGCTGTTCATAGCAACCAGTGCCATAATGTTGGACACTCTGAGCAGCTGGAAGCTTATCGCGGCTTCTGTGGCCGATCTTCTCAGCCACTGGTTGCCTCATCAAGTGGTGTTTCTGATGCAGCAGAGTCACTAGAAGATCCTTTGATCACCAACGGCAGGATCCCCGAGTATTTGTTCGAGAGCCTTCCAACTTGGGATTTCAGGAGAGGTGTCGAGGAAGCACAGAAGTTTCTCCCTGGTGGTGATAAGCTAGTGATTGATTTAGAAGCTGCTGGTGTCTCAAAGCCTCAAGAAGCAGTGAAAGACATTCCTTTCAATGTCAGCAGGACAGAGGTCTTGAAGGCCAAGAAAAACAGACAGAGCGAAGATCTTGACTTGATAGAAGGACGAAACATTAAACAATCTGCATTCTGTTCCGATGAGCCTGATGATTGGGTTGAGATGTTTGATGATTTGTTTCGTCAAACTGAAAAGAAGGCTACAGTTCTGCGAGAAAAGATGCGCAGCGAAGCTTCCAAGAATTCTCAGGTCATTCAAACGAAAGGAACAACTGGGGTGAAGACACGGGGCAGGAAGCCGACAAAAAATGATGTGGTGGACCTTAGGACCATCCTCATCCACTGTGCACAGGCAGTGGCAGCTGATGACCGCCGAACTGCTAATGAGTTGCTGAAGCAAATAAAACAGCATTCTAAGGTAAATGGGGATGGCAGCCAGAGGCTGGCGTTTTGCTTTGCACAGGGTCTCGAGGCTCGCTTGGCTGGTACAGGGAGCCAGCAGTACCATAGGCTTGTAGCAAAGCGGACAACCGCGTCCGACATGCTTAAGGCGTACCATCTTTACTTTGCAGCATGCCCATTCAAGAGGCTCTCACATTTCCTCTCCAATCAAACAATCTTGAGCATGACAAAAAATGCAAAGAAGGTGCACATAATTGACTTTGGCATTTATTTTGGCCTCCAATGGCCATGCCTCATCAGGCGTCTCTCCAAGAGGGAAGGTGGTCCACCAATTCTTCGCATCACGGGAATTGATGTACCCGAGCCTGGTTTCCGCCCTACCGAGCGCATCGAAGAGACGGGACAGAGGCTTGCGGAGTATGCCAAGAAGTTTGAGGTGCCTTTTGAGTACCATGGCATAGCATCAAAGTGGGAAACCATCCGTGCTGAGGATCTCAAGGTTGGCAAAGACGAAGTGGTGATTGTTAATTGCCTGTACCGTTTCAGAAATCTTATTGACGAAACAGTGGCTGTAGACAGCCCTAGGAATAGGGTGCTCAACACTATAAGGCAAGTGAATCCAGCAATTTTCATCCATGGGATTGTGAATGGGTCATACAGTGTTCCTTTCTTCATCACACGTTTCCGTGAGGCATTGTTCCATTTCTCTGCATTGTTTGACATGCTTGAGGCAACTGTGCCGCGGGATGATGACCAGCGTAGGCTCATAGAGAGGGATCTCTTTGGCCGAGAGGCACTCAATGTGATTGCATGTGAGGGCTCAGACAGAGTCGAGAGACCAGAGACATATAAACAGTGGCAAGTCAGGAACCTGAGGGCTGGATTTGTTCAGTCTCCGTTAAACCAGGACATTGTGATAAAAGCCAAAGACAAAGTGAAAGATATATATCACAAAGATTTTGTCATAGACGAAGACAGTGGATGGCTCCTCCAAGGGTGGAAAGGAAGGATAATTTATGCTATAACTACATGGAAGCATAATAACAGTTAGGTTCTTCGTCTGCATGTCTCTTACACCATTGTTGAAGGCAGAGCTTGGCCAAGTCACCAGTATTCCAAGGTATGCACTGGGCTATTCTTAAGTACAATAGTATTAGTAAGTGGTTGTTTAGGTGCAACAATATTTGTAATAATTGATGGTGTAACTCTATGTATCTTTGGCACTGTGGTTTTCAAGAACGTGCAATAGATTCTTGGAGCAGAAATTTGACAATGTCGTAAAATATTTTTTCTCCAGGAATTGGCTTGAAGAATGACAGGACTCTTGTCACACTGCACCGGATTAATGTGGGTGCTTGTATACGAATTCAGTGTAGTTGCATCTATGACTATGTAGCCACTAGGCAGTACTAAGATAAGCTAGAGGAAAGGAGCAGTGGTTGAGCTCTCCCTTGGCCATGGTACTGTTACTTTATTTAATTCCTACTTTTCTTCATTCTAGTTACTTCTATGACCATCCTAATTAGTAGTAACCAAATCACAGCTTCTATATTAGTTAATCAATTAATCAAGTGCCCAGTATCATAAGGTTTCTACTTTTGACTTCCTTGAGTGTATGATATCTATGCTAATAAGAACGAGTTTGGGTTCAGCATCATCAATTCAATGGGTATATATGTTTTTTGTAGCAGTCATTTTATCATCATGAGCCTAACAAAGGTCAGAGCCATGTCTGGTTCTTGTTGTTTGATGCCCATTGTTGTAATCTGATCAGACAACTAACTGAAGCACCCAATTGCATTGTTGTATGAAATAATTAAGCAAGACATGAGATTACTTGTGAATTTTCATGACTAATAGTTAAGTAGGTAAGTTAATAAGGCTCATGAGCTTGTCAACTAAATTGGCATGATCCTGTTTCACACACTTCGGGATTCACAGTTTCATGCCGCTAATTTATTTTAAGATTATGTGTTGTCACAACTCAAGGGCTTTGATACCTGTACTTAATCTCTCTAGGGTTCTATTAGTTTACCCAGTCAGAAACTTCCGAAACTCACGTCATCGTGTTTCTAGAAAGCTGAAAAATAGGGGTGCTGACATCCATATGTGCTATGTAGATTGTGTTCCATGGTTATTGTATTTTATGTATGGAAACTAATTTGTGCTAGTCTGGTTGTACCATAGGGAAAATGGTAAATAAATACCAACGTTTCCTGATGGAAAAACTCAAAAAAGAACATTGATCTTTCATCATCACTTGTCTGATGCCACTGGAAATTACATGTTGTTTGGCAACTATAATTGATGGCGTAAATGGATATGTATTCTTTGGTAATGTCAGACCGTTGGCATGTTCTTTCGCAGGGATGTCGATCCTTTTAGAAACACAGGATGTTCTTGGAGCAGTTATTTGAAAATGTCATGAAATGTTCTTCTCTTTCTCTTTCCAGAAAATAACCTGAGGAGTGAACAAGATTGTTGTTGCACTGCACCAGATCAAGATGCGGGGGTGCCTGTGTAAGAACTGAGTGTCAATTGCGTCTGTGCAGTAGCCGCCTTCTCTACTACTACTAGTTAATTGTTTAGCCAACCACCTAGGACCTTAATGTTTGTACTCTTGACTTTCCTGGATCCACTATGTTAGCAAGCATGAGTTGGATTCAGCATCAGCATATGCATTGTCAAATCAAATATGATCCAGTATCCACATTTCATTTGGTTACTTCCGCAGTGTGCGTTGCATGCTGTCGAGAAACGGCGGTCCTTGGGCTTCAGTGGGGGACTTGTTTGGAGCATTTGAGAAAACATGCAGTGCTACAACTTTCCATGGCACCACTTTGATTTTCTGTCTAAAAAACCAGTTGACGGTGCTAATATAAGGATAAGATATCGGTGGATAATGGTTGATGCGGGCATGCAATCGCTGTCGCCATCTCTGCATTGAATATTTATTGGCTTTCTTTGGCTGCCAATGCCGACCTCTTTTTAGTTGCGCTTGCAACTCACAAGCTGACTTTGTTGGTCAGTTGCCCTGCTGTTTTCAGCTCAACTGTTGATATGCGTATTTTTCTTTGTTTCATTTTTAGCCATCGCGGACTGGATTGAATTGAATCTCTACTCTGGCAAAAGTTAAGTAGAATTTGGTAAAGAAAATAAGTATAGGGTCACTGCTACTTACTCCTGTACATTGTTGCCCCCATAATAACGCTTCTCAAGTCGAATCTAGTGGAAACTAGAATATACTTGATAAAAAAATCAAAAAAAAATGGGTGGCAAATAATTATAAAGTCTAAATGAGCTGAAGTGACATCTTCTAGTGATTATTGGTGGGTTGGAAACGAACAACCTCGCCGAATCTTTATGTCGTTGGATCTTTTCCGTGACTTCAAATATTGTCTCACATACTTGTTCTTCACGTTCACGGTATCATTCTTCAAAATGATGATGGGCGATGAACGAATTGGTGGCGGCACGGGATGGGCGGCGCATGTGAACCGGGGGAGAGAAGATAAAGCTGATGTGGACATGGAACCAACCGCCGAGGTTTCCTGTGTGCGCTCAATGAAAAGAAGCTCACTACCATAATGATGATGGGGTGACGCCTCTCTTGTCCTTGAGATTGACTTCACTAGTGGTGTTCTGCCGGAGGAAATTGCACAAACCATCAACTATTGTTGTTGATTTTGCAGAGAACACCTATCTTACGGGTTTGTTGCACAAAACATCACATATTGGTGTAATCTGTTGCAGCTAAGTCTAATCTGGCATTTAGGTTTTACATGATTTCTGATGAGTATATCTGGTGGTAAGTGCACGGGTGACAAAATATCGGCCACATCAGCAGGCCAACTAAGTGAGGAATTTTTTGACCTGTTTATCTTCAATCATGGCAATACAACGGAACAGAAGAAATAATAAAAATTATATCCAGATCCGTAGACCATCTAGTAATGACTACAAGCACTGGAACGAGCCGAAGGTCCGTAAACCTTTCATCCAATTGTGCTGAAATTTCCCCGGATTAGTATTGAGTATGGTATATCATGCTTTTATTTACTTTTTCTGAAAATGATGAATTTCATAAAACAGAAAAGGGGCTAACTAAACATTCCTGTGCTAATCTGGTCGATTGATGGCCGGTTTTCTTTGTCATGCGTGCATTTATAAGTGGGATCCACCTATAAAAATATCAAATCAACATACCTAGCTGTGAAGGATTACATGTGGTGTTTTATGCAACAAACCCGTAGAGTAGATGTTCTGTGCTAAATCAGCAATAATAGTTAGTGCTTCGTGCAATCTCCTTGTTCTGCTGTTATCCCCGTCTAGATTCCTTGGTGTAAAAGGGGAAGCAGGCGTGAGAGGTCCATGGATTTATTTTCTCTCCTCCCCATTGCATAATGTTTATTCATCTGCTTAATTCTTATGGGTGTTGTAAGGTGAGTCTCTCAGTCATCTACATCGACAAATGCACACTCCAAATGCCAATGATTAATTGATGGATGCGGCTAGATCTCAGCCAAGTGAGATTTGTATTTTTTTCACTTACTTTTCTGTTTCTCTTTCCCCACCTTTTCTATTGCATCTTTTTTGGAAAACACGTAGATGTAATCACATGTGTTTGATGGATGTGTAATTGTAGTTGTGCGCGATTGGTGAGTGGGCAAATATAGTTGTGCCTGAAAAATAAATTTAAAACATAACATAAATCAATAAAACAAAAAAGGAAAATTTACAAAAAAAATCTCAGTGTAAAATTAGACGGTAAAAACCGTTTTTTTTTTGCCTTAACTGAGACATGATAAAAGCTTCCTTTGTTCAAAGTTTAAGTCCGCCCTGTAAAATTTACGTGAACTTTCTACGAATCAAATAGGAGTAGACCTTCTTAGGAACCCTTCTTCAGTTGATGCGCAGACAACAATGTTATTAGGAAGGTAAAAGTACTATGGGGATGTAGTGCTCGTGGGTCGATTTATGATGAGCACAGGGAGGGTGGTGGGCAACAAAAAGATGGAAAATCGCAAATGCCAAGGAATTATAACTTGGATGATGCATGTTTTTTATCTTTTGAGAGAAGGAATTATAGCTTGGATGATGCATGTTTTTCCTTGTGCTAGCAGAGGATGATGATGCGTGTGACAGGTGCTTTCGAAAGATTTATTTCCGTTTTTTTAGTGGGCAAAAAAGATTTAATACAGTTGTCAGCACGAGCAAATCTCCACGATGAGGCCCAAGCCCAACAGCAGGTTCTGCGTTGCTTCTGGCTCGCAACTGCGTCACGCAAAGGCTATACCTCGCCTATAGCGAGTCCGATGGAAGACTCGACCGCGCGGGAATGGATCCTATAGTACGGTTCAAGTAGTTATGTCGCAACCTAGTTGAAGGAAAAGAGCCGGTCTTCTAATTGTGTTTCGGGTTTTTTCTGTTTTTGTCTTTTCTTGCTTTTCACCTTTTTTTCTTCGTTTCTTTTCTCATTTTTACTAGTTTTCTTTTCTTATTATTTGCTTTCTTTTTGTTTGGTTTTCTTTGTTTCTTTTTCATTTTTCACTAGATTTTTTAGTTTGTTTCTTTTTTATTTACTTTGGCTTTGTTTGTTTATTTTCTCATTTTTCATTGGTTTCCTTTTTTTTCTCGGTGTTTCATTGTTTTTTCATATATTTGATATATTATCTAATACATATTTAATAATTTTTAAATACAAGATTAAAATTTATTCAATACATGGTCAATATTTTTTGTATACACATTGAATATGTTTTCCAAATGCTTAATTCAGAATTTTCAAATACAAGTTTAATATTTTTTCAATGCATGGTAACTATTTTTTATACACATTTAACATTTTTTAAATGCATGATTAACATTTTTTGCATACAAGTCAACAATTTTCCTTTACACATTTAATAATTTTAAAATACTTGATTTAACAATTTTCAAATACAAGATTAGCATTATTTTTTCAAATGATTTGATTAACATTTTTTTAAATACATGATCAACTCTTTTTATAGACATTTGTTTTTTTCTGTATACATTTTTTATACGTGA